TGACCCTCCTTATCTCTTCTGATTAGTTTTACTTTGAAGTCTGTTTTGTCAGATATTAGAATTGTAACCCCTGCTTGTTTCTTAGTCCCATTTGCTTGGAATATTCTTCTCCATCCTTTTACCTTAAGGTAGTGCCTGTCCTTGAAGGTGAGATGGGTTTCTTGCAGACAGCAAAGAGATAGATTTCATTTTTTAACCTATTCAGTTAGCCTGTGTCTTTTGACTGGGGAATTCAGTCCATTGATATTTAAGGTTATTATTGAAAGATGTGTGTTGGTTGCCGTCATGTTTGCTGTTTGTGTTCTTTAATTTTGTGTTTCCTTCATTATACCTTTATTTTCTTTCGTTTCCCCGGGGTATAGTAGTTTCTCTCTCCGCTCTCTGTGTTGCTTCATGTGTTCTTTGAAGGGCTGGTTTCGTGGACATGATTCTTTCAGGCTTTTTGTGTCATGGAAGAATTTTCTTCCCCCCTCAACTATAATAGACATTTTTGCTGGGTACAGTATTCTGGGCTGACATCTGTTGTCATGTAGAACTGGAAATACCTTGGTCCAGGCTCTTCTGGCCTTCATAGTTTGCATTGATAAGTCAGCTGTAATTCTGATGGGCTTTCCTTTTATGTGACTTGTCTTCTTTTGCTGTTTTCAGTATTCTTTGTTCTGTACATTTAGAGTTGTGTTTTTTGGGTTTTTGTTTGTTTGTTTTTTTGGTCTTTCTGAGACAGGGTCTCCCTGTAGCCCCAGCTGTCCTGGAACTCACTATATAGACCAGGCTGGCCTTGCACTCATGGAGATCCGCCTGCCTCTGCCTCCCTAGTGCTGGGATTAAAGGTGTGCACCACCACGCCCAGCTTGTTTTTTTTTTTTTTTTTTTTTTTGAGGTTAGGGAGATTTATTTTACAGCTGGGCTGTCCCTGAACTCGGGGAATGCATAGAGAGAGAAGCCATTTAGTGTTTTTACTGTGATGTCATGGGGACTTTTCTGATCCTATTTGGTGTTTTGTGTGCTTCCTGTATTTGTATGGGGATGTCTTTGCTTAATTTTGGGAAAGTCTTTTCTACAATCCTGTTTAAGATCTGGTCAACACCATTAACCTGAAATTCTCCTTCCTCTATTCCTGTGATCTGTAGATTTGGTCTTTTCATGGTGTCCCACATCTCTTGCATATTCCATTCCTGTGTTTTTTAAAAATTTTCCATACTCTTTGCTTGAGTGGTCCAATTCTTCAACTTTTTCCTCCATTGGTTGATACTCTGTTTTCTATTTCATTCATTCTAGCAGTGAGGCTTTCCCCTATTGTTTCAAGTTGGCTCACTGAGTTTTGCACTTCCTTCTTCATTTCTGCCTGAGTTGTCTTCAATGTTTCTATCTCTTCTTTTAGCTCTTTGTTTGTTCGTGTGTCCTTTAAATTTGTTGAATTCCTTGATCATGTTTATGATCTTTTAAATTTAGTGTCCTGGGTTATCTCTAGGGGGTTGTCCTTGTAGAACTCTTCTACAGGATTGGTGGAGTTTGGTGGGGACATGGTGTTATGGCTTTTCATTTTATTATTCTTTCGTTTTGATTTGGGCATGTGAATTTCTTTTGTTGTTTATGATTCTGATATGAGAATTAAGTTGAAGTATGCTTCTGTTTGTATTATCCAGGTGCCCAGATCCTTTCTTTATTGGTTATGTAAAGCTGGTTGGTACAGGGTTCAGGTTCTCTCAGGTTTAATTTGGAGGGAACTGATGGCTTCAGATCAGCTATTCAGGGGTACCCACAGAAGGCCAATTCAGGTTCCAGTCAGGTACACTCAGGCTTCCTTCACCACGTGGAGGCAGGATCTGGACGCTCTCAGGCTGTCTGCTAGGATCTCAGCCTTAGCCTACCAAAGCCGGATCTGCCATGGGGCCTCATCAATTCCCAGGTAGGGGGATGGGTATGGCGCAGATTAGGGGAAGCTCACTACCAGGAGGCGGCAGGATCCAGTGGCTCTCAGGCAGTTCCCTAGTTCTCAGCCCCTCTGTCAGAGAGAGGCCAGAACTTGGCACTTTCTGGTGGTCTGCTGAGATCAGAGCCGCCACCACTGGAAGGTTTCTAAATGGACACCTGGTTACCCCCACCTGGTTAACTGTGCAGGCCTGTAGGGACAGAAGGGACAGCCAGGGGTCCTGTAGCAAGGTCCTGTTAAAGAGCCCTGAGTTTGCCTGTCAGCACTGTGTCGGCATGCTGTACACCCCAACAACTGAAAGTAAAAGTCAGCAGGAGTCCTGAGGGTTTGTCTCCTCACTGTTGGCTCACAGCTTCCCTGTATGGGAGCCAGTTCCTTGTTCTCTGACAAAAGGAAACAGAGCTGGAATGCACATAAGTGATTCACTGACGTTAGGCATCTCCTGCTGCCCCTCAGCTCCTCCAGAGGTATTGAACTAAAAGGCAGTAGGATTCCTTCAAAGCCAAGAGGAGGTCCAGTTTGATGGTGCCTAATCTTGAATCTCCTTGTTCTACTTTGGTCCAGCCTGTGTGTTTGGATGCATGTGCACACAATATGCCGTTTCCACAAGAGCAGCCAGAGCTGGTCCAGGAAAAAGGCATGATGGCCTGGGGTTATTGCAAAGCCATAAACAAGAAGAGATGGGGTTGGGGTGATCACAGCCTCAGTAGAGGGAAGATGGAATACTGGTGTCACTTGTTTTCTCATCTTACCTTCACCTCATGATCCTTAGTCATAGCTGGGCTTCCTGGCTCGAGTTCTATTTCTAGCAAGGCTGTTCTGGAGCTGTTCATGAAGCTACCTCCTGAGGCTGTGCAGTAGCTCTATGTACCAGTCAATTCAGGAGGCTGCTAACTTAGGTATCTCCAATAGAAAAACCAAGCCTTGAACTTGATGTGTAGCTACGTGAACTCCTGATCCTCCTGCCTGTAACTCCCCAGTGCTGGGATTATAGGTGTGTACCACTATGCCCTTCTATTTTTTGGTGTGGAGACAGGGTCTCATTCTGTAGCTCAGACTGGCCTGGAACAGCCTAGACTAGCCTTGGACTCTCAGTGATCCTTCTGCCTCAGTCTTTGGAATATTGGCATTACAGACTTGAGTCATCATACCTTTTCATCTCCCTATCCCCTTTTTCCCCCTTTTTTGTGGTACTAATGATTGAACCTACAGGTTTGAGCATGCTGAGCAAGTGCTGTACTACTGAAGTACCCACCCCTCTCCAATTTTCTTTTTCTAGCTTACTGAGGCGATTAGCAGAAGGTTTTTAGGGGCTAGGGTTAGAGCTCAGGCCATTCCAATCCTGGTTTAACTCCCAATAATAAGACCCTGTTTGAGACAGGGTTTCATTATGTAGCCAACCCAGGCTTGAATTTGTTTCACCCCCAGAATAGTGTCTTGGTATGCAGCTCAGTTCTCTCTATAGGCCAACTTGTGTTGATTCTCTTGCCTCTGTCTCCTTAATACTAGGATGGCAGGTGTAAGCACATTAGGCCTTGAACTCTTGACCCTCCTACTTCAGCATCCTGAGTGTTTAATATTTTCAGGCATGTGTGTGGTATTAAGAGATTGAACCTACTAGTAAAACACTGTCACTGAGCCTGTATTAACACTATGAGTTTTTACATTTGTTTGAGACAGGGTCTCATCTGTAGCCCAGGCTGGCTTTGAACTTATGGCTATCCTGCCACATCTTCCCAAGTGTTGAGATTATATGTGTGATTCACCATCCCAGCTCAGCATTTGTGTGTATGTATATAATGTATATGTATCCTTTTAAAATGTTTCCAAATTTAAGGACTTTGTTCTCTACCCTGAGCTATGTCACCAATACATCACACCTCCTTTGTCCTTTCATCCATCACTGGACATATTTTTAGTTGTCTTGGCTGTTTTGAATACTGCCGTAAGCAAGTCTGTTTGAGATAATGATTTTAGTTACTTTGGATTTATTCCTAGAAGTAGGATTGCTGGACCATGTGGTGGTTGTTCATTTTTGTTTATAGTGTATACTGTGCATGTGTAGAGGCCGGAGGTTGGTGTTGGGAGTTTTTTGTGTGTTTGTTTGGTCTTTTTGAGACAGGGTCTCCCTGTAACCCCAGCTGTCCTGGAACTCACTATGTAGACAAGGTTGGCCTTGAACTTACAGAGATCTGCCTGCCTCTGCCTCCCAAGTGCTGGGATTAAAGGCTTGTGCCACCACACCCGGCTCCTTGTTGGGAGTCTTTAACTATTGTTTTCCATCTTATTGTTAGAGATAGGGTCTATCACAGAATAGCTAACCAATTGCCCTACTGGCCTGTGAGCTTTGGGGATCTGCTTGTCTGTGTACCCCCAGTGGCTAGGGTTACAGATGTGTTCAACTGTGTCCAGCTTTTACATGGGTGTCAGGGAAATCATGCTTGTACAGTTGGTACTTTACCCACTGAGTTGTTGCCTCAACTCAGTTTACTAATTTAAAAATGTAACATTTTTATTTGATTGTATGTCCGTGTACAAGTGGAGGGCAGACGACAACTCTCAGGAGTTGGTTCTCCTACTATATGGGTCCTGGGGATGAAACTCGGGTCATCAGACTTGGCAGCAGGCTACTGAGCCACCTGGCCATCTCAGCCCTTCCAACTCTTTGAAGCATAGGATGTGTGGGCTTCTTACTTGTTCCAATTATGTGAGATAGCCTCTCCTCTGACTTCCTTTGCTTTGGTGTCTGAATTTGCAGCATCGCCCTGAGCAACTGGTGGTTTGTAGCTCACCTAACAGACCTTTTGGATCACTGCAGGCTCCTTCAGTCACACAACCTCTAGTAAGTTGGCTGGATACACTGACCCTTTCTTAAGTCACCAGGCCTTAAAGGGAGGGTCAGGAGGAATGCATGGGAGACTGGGTTGCAGGAGCCTTGAAGCAGGCTTGAAGTCTTGGTGTTGTGTGATGTTTTTCCAGCTTTGGTTCAAACATGAGAGAATTCCTCCTGCTGGAGTACGCCTCAGGACTATTTGCTCACCACAGGTAGGAAGGGCCCACAGGTGATCGTCAGCTTGTGGGTGCCAGTAGAGCCTCACTATTCCTTGTCTGGTTTCCTGAGGGCTTCAGAAGGGTGGGGGAGGATGAGCCTCAGGTGGCAATGCCTTGGTCTCCAGACCCTCAACATCTGCTTTCCTTGGACCTTTGTAGCCTGTGGCAACTTGGGGTGGATTACTTTGACTACTGCCCAGAGCTGGGCCGAGTTTCCTTGGAGTTGCACATTGAGCGGATTCCTCTCAACACAGAGCAGAAAGCCCTGAAGGTGCTCCGGATTTGTGAGCAGCGGCAGATGACTGAACAAGGTGATAGGACCCTTTTCCCAGCCTGACCTCTAGGCATCCCTACACTGAGCAGTGCTGACACTGACAACCTCCTCACCAGTGACACTAAATATGCTCTACAGTGTATGCCAAGACCACTGTGAGGGAGGGACAGAGGAGGGAAAGGATCCCTTAGAACCTAGAGAAATCAAACACTGCTTTTTAGGAAGGACTCCCCTTTTCTCTCAAACTTTATGTGGTCAGGCCTGTGGTCAGTGCTAAGTGCCCTGTCCCCAGTGCTACAGGGATAGAGACAGATGTCCACAGCTTTACCCCTATCTCCATCCCCCTGCCATCGTCAAAGGAGAGGCACGTGCATATTTATGACCATCCCCAAAAGTCCCATGATGTTCAAGACCTGAAGGAAGGAAGATAAGTTTGGCTTCTGGACAGATAATGGGGGAACTGATATGTGGGGGTAAAGAAAAATCTTCTGGCCATTCAAAAGCATATCCATTCAGAAAGCTAATCTGTTGGGGTGGGTCATTTGTGTAACAGCGTGAAGACAGCAAGAATAAATCCAGAAGTTTCTGGTTCTGTACTCAGTTGTATTTTGAGCCCATGGAGAAGCTATAGGAAGGCCATGCCTATCCCTGCATGGCTCCTCATTAGATGGATATGGGTAAAAGCTGTTGCCTTCTTATCTTTTCCCCTGCAAAGTTCGCAGCATCTGTAAGATATTGGCTATGAAGGCTGTTCGCAACAATCGCCTGGGATCTGCCCTCTCTTGGAGCATCCGTGCCAAAGATGCTGCTTTTGCTACACTTGTATCTGACAGGTGGGTGCAGCTTTTAGGCTGATGGGGAAGCTGGAGGTTGAGGAGGTGCCAGTACTGGTGCTCTGATCTCTGGGCTTGGCCCTGCAGATTCCTCAGGGATTACTGTGAACGGGGCTGCTTTTCCGACTTGGATCTCATTGACAACCTGGGGCCAGCCATGATGCTCAGTGATCGACTGACTTTCCTGGGTGAGTCTCTATGCATCCTTTCCACTGGATTTGAGTGGACACGGGAAGTATCTTTCTAGATTTTTCTGAGTGTTTAGGCCAAACCACATTGAAACATATGTGCTAGACTTTTGCGTGTATGTAAGTGCACCATGCCATAAGCATGCAAAGCCCAGAGAGGCTAGGAGAGGACATTGAATGCCCTGAAACTGAGCCATCTCTCTAGCCCCCTTCCCAGTTTTTGATAACATGGTGGTTTTTTTTGGTCTTTTTAAGACAAGGTCTCTCTGTAGCCCCAGCTGGCCTGAAACTCACTATGTAGATCAGGCTGGCCTTGAACTCAAGAGATGCACCTGCCTCTGCCTCCTGAGTGTTGGGATTAAAGGCGTGTACCAACACACCCAGCTGATGTTTTATTTTCAAGTAATTCCAAACTTAGGAGAAAGTTACAGAACTGGTGTAAAGAATGAGCCCCTTCTACAGACAGACTTTTCATATTCATGTTATAGTTTACCTCATTTATCATTTTCTCATTACTTTTGGAGGAAAGAATTTGGCAGTAAATAAAGTAAGGGATGCTGTCTCTCTTTTGGTGTCTGTTTCGGTAGCAGTAGTCAGAATCCAGAGATCCATTGCTGATAACTATTCTACCAGTGGTCCCACTGATGTCCTTAACTGTGTAAGGATTGTACCTAGGGAAGTATACCACTGAGTTTTACTAATGGGCTCTTTTCTCTCCCCCTCTCCAGCATACCTCCTCCCCACTTTCTCTTTGAGACATGGTTTGCTATGTAGTCCAGGCTAGCTTCATTCCTGAGTGCTAGGCACTCTTAAGTGTGTGCCATATAATCTTTTAATTAAAAAAAAATATTTTTATGTGTATGAGTGTTATGCCTGCATGTAGGTAAGTGCACCCATGTCGTGCAATGCTGGAGGACAGAAGCAGCTGTCAGATTCCTTGGAACTGGAGTTATAGACAGTTATTAGCTGCCTGTTGGGTGCTGGGATTTGAACCCAGTCTTCTGCAAGAACAGTCAGTGTTCTTAACCACTGAGCCCATCTCTCCAGCCCCAACCATATACTCTTAACATTTTGAAGGCTTTGGCCAGCTCCCATGTAGTGTTCTTAATTTGTTTTTTTCCTAATCTTCCTAAAAATTAGATGTAGATGCTTTGGGGCAGAAGGCTGTGTGACTTTGATCGCTTGGCTGGTCAGACTACCAAATGGCTTTTCTGTGATTAGGGCTCCTCTGACCCCAACATCCTGGGAAGCAATGTTTTTCAGTTTTTTTGGTTGAGTTGGACGTCTCTTGTAGCCGAGTCTGGCTTGGAGTTCCTGATCCTCTGGACTCCATCTCTTGTGTCTATTATTACAGGCATGGCACTCTGGCTCTTTTATTATGTTAAAAACAACTGTGTGTGTGTGTGTGTGTGTGTACTTCCACACATAACACTGTGCCCATGTGGAGGCCAGAGGACAGCTTTGGAGGTGGTTCTCTCCACCTTTATGGAGGCTGAAGCCATTTTGCTGATCCTTATTTTTTGTGCTACAGGATCTCATGAGACTGGCTCTGGAACAGTTCTTCTAGGGTTCCCTTACTTTAAGGCCAGGGTGCTTTTTCAAAGCATCAGGTGGGGAGGAATGTTTAGGTGACCTTGTGCTCCCTTGTCATAGGAAAGTACCGTGAGTTCCACAGACTGTATGGGGAGAAGCGCTTTGCCGATGCTGCCAGTCTGCTGCTGTCCCTCATGACATCTCAGATTGCACCCCGCTCATTCTGGATGACTTTGCTCACAGATGCTCTGCCTCTTTTGGAACAGAAACAGGTAGTACTCCACGTCAAGCATGTTCTCTTCTCTCTGCCTTTTGTAGCTCCGCACAGCTTAGTTCTGTAGCCATTGCAGATGCTGATATACACCTCCTCCTAAGTACTATTTGCATGCATTCAGTATTCTCCAGCACTCAGACTTTAATACTATATCCATGTAAGAAAAACTGAAATGCTGTCCAACAATACTCAGCCTGCCCAGAGGGCTGGATATGATGCTAGGAGCCATACCATCTGCCTATGCCTATGCCTCCATATCCAAAGCATTCTTCCTAAGGGCATGAAAGCAAGGCCTTCTCTGAACTTGGACTCATGCCCAGACCAGCATAGGCTTTGGCTGGGGAGCAGCTGGGTAAAGCAGCCTTTCCCCCCTAGGTGATCTTTTCAGCAGAACAGACTTATGAGCTGATGCGCTGTCTGGAGGACTTGGCCTCCAAGAAGCCAGAGAGTGGACAGCCTGATGCCCAGCGACTCCAGGTCATCTGAAGTTAGGGGTCTTCTTCTGGGTGCATGTATTAAATGGGAAAAGATTCCTCTCTTGGGATTCCCCCACCTGTGTTCCTGAAACCTTGTGACACATCAGTTTTCCAGAGGAAACAGGGTGGTTGCAATTGTTGTTCTGTTGTCCATCACAGTCTGCCCTTTCTGTACTTGTCTCATGTGGGCCATTTGAATGTTAAATGTCCTTTACCTCTACAAGCACTGGAGAAGGACTGCTACCTGCTGGGCCTCACACTGCCTTTCTGCTTTTCAGGATGATATAGAGACCACCAAGGTAGAAATGCTGAGACTGGCTCTAGCTCGGAATCTCGCTCGGGCAATCATAAGAGAAGGCTCACTGGAAGGCTCCTGAGATAGCTGCAGTGTTAACTTTGTATGGCAATGTATATAAATTCTAGAAATAAATGTTCTTTTGCAAATACAAGACCAGTTATTAGTCCACGCAGCACGTTTTTAATCCATATCTACTTTGAACCTGTGGTGGTGAGAATGGACACGGTGTGTTCACAGGCTGGCCCTTCGTGTTCAAGCAATCCTTAAGCTCAACCTGTCGATCTCTTTGGTACAGAATGCGCTTCATCTCCTTAGAGGAGCCAGAGTATTGTAAGACTATTAACTGCAGTGTGCTCCCTCTAACTGGAAGTCTGTGAGAATGTCTGATGACTTGTTTCTGAGGTCTTGCCTCACAGCCAGTCATCGAACATGCTCTTATTTATGGTCACCTCCCTTTAACAAAAGGCTGTAGTAACCTCTGTTTGGAATTCGTAGGCAGTGCCTTTCCTGTCTGGGTAAGTGGTGCTCTGTATGGAAGAATTCCAAGCAGGGTGAAAATGGTTTTATTTCACATGCAGCAGCAGCAAGACAAGGGCAGGAGTCGATACATCCAGTACAGTTGTTTACCATGAAGCAGTGGCCTCAGCGGTACCGAGCAAGACAGTCACATAGATAGTCCAGGGCTTAAGGAACCAGTTTCTGGAAAGCCCTTAGGTTTAACCACTTTAGCAGTAAAAATGATTTGCTTCTGTCCTGTCCCGAGGAAGCAGTGAAACCTGCTAGCTAAGGACAGTAGGGGAAGGTGGGTCAGAAGAATGGACAAGAGAGCAAGTATACTCTCAAGGTATAGGGGGAAAGGGTAGTTTGTGCCACCTTCCCTCAGACGTGGCAGGCAGCTGGGCCTGTTCAACTCAGCTGGTTGCCCCCTCCCCAGCTTCTTTGGCAGATCAGTTTCCTGTTGCCTCGAAGCTTAAGAGTTCCTGGCCTGAAGCAGCTGAGCCATGCTAGCTGAGGCTGAGCACTGTTGAAGCAATAGGGTCTGGCAACTCAGTTCAAGCGTAGACCCTCATCTCATCATCTCCAGACCCAACATATTGCGACAGAGTCTCCCTGAAGCTGGGGGACAGTGAGTGTTCGGCATAGCACAAAAGGGCATCAAGTCTAGTGCAATGAACATGACCCTGAGACTTCCTGGGTCCAACCATAGGTGCCACACCACACTCCATGTGGCAGGAGGGAGGGCAGCCAAAGCAGAAGGAAGCAGTGTGTTGGGAGATCATCTTCCTTTAAAGACTTAAGGGAAGAACAGCAGTTTATTTTATGCCAAGCAAGAGGTAGTGAGTAGGATGGCCTATCCCACAGCAGGAGGCAGCTTTTCCCAGAAAGCTCCAGTACCTGCTTCTGAAAGGAAACACTGGCTCTTTTCCATTTTCCTTCCTATCCCTAGCTGAGGCTCTCAGGCTTTTTCTGCTAGGCTGTTTCCTGTCCTGCTGACATGTCCATAGGACATAGCCTGCAACTGCCAGAACAAGCACAGCACTCACTCAGTAGCCACTTAAGGATGCTGCTCCTGCAGAAAGTGGGGCCAGGACTCTACAGTACTCTAACTTCTCACTCTGGGTCACTGACTGCCCACTTCAGGTAGCAGCAGTACCTGCCAGCAAGGAAGCATGGGCTAGCCAAGGAAGCTACAGTCTCAGTTCTTGAGTGGGCTTGAGAGGCCCTCTTGAGAGCAGCCCCCTCAGATATCAGGGAATGCCAGTAAAAAGCAAATACCTACTCTAGCTTTGGGAGTCTACCAACTCAGGGCAGCCAGTGAAGCCCTGGGCCACCCCGCACCCAAGGTATGGCCACTTCAAGTTACACAGGTAGATAAAACAGGTCCTTTTAGGGGCCCAAGGAGATTATCACAGCAGCTTGGCTCCCAACAGAAATGCCCAGGGCTCTGGTCCACATCAAAGCTATAAATACTGTCCAGGATGTACAATGACTGGACCAAAGCTTCTCTGTCTTAGGGCTGCCTGTCTTCCAAGGGGAGATCACAGCATCCTTTGGGGTCATAGATTTCCCCACTGTTCCACTGGAGGAAACTGGTCCACTTCACCCAGTTCTGTGCTCAGCTGCTCCCCCAGGGCAAAGGTCAGCTTATACCGAAGCCGCACCTTCTCCTGTGACAGAGGGCCACAGGTGAGTGAGAATGAACCAGGCACCTCCTGCAGAACATCTTTCCCCTGCCACCCTCTTATGGCTCTGTGCTGGAGGAGTGGTCCCCGTTCCCACCATGTTCACATTACCCTGGGGCAAGAAAAAGGCTACTGCTACAAGTCACCACTGCAGGGGAGATCACCTGAAGGCTTGGGGCAGGGGCTTAGGCCTGTGGCTTCTCCCATGCTCACCTTCATTGGATTGGCCAGCAGCATGACCTGGGTGATGGCTGCAGGTGGCTGGATAGGACTAAATGGAGAGAGTTCTGTTCCAGAGGGTGGCTGCAACTTCACTTTCATTGACTAAAAGAAATAAGAGATACTCCTTTGAAGAGAACTGTCTAGGTGCCTCTGTGATAGAATGGAGTTGAGCCATGGTAGATACACACATGATGCCACCTGCTGGCCACCGCGAGGCACTCAACACAGTTCAAGATCAAGGCAATTCTGACCTTCAGAGGCACCCCAGGAGCCAAAGATACCTTGGGCACTGCAGCCTGCAGCACGATGCTCTTGACTGGTAAGGGAGCCGTATTCAGCATGGACACCACCACCACCAGTACGTCGGGCCGTCCTGGTGGACACTCCTTGGCAAAGTGGAAAAGGATGCGGAAGCCATTTTTATCATAGGCTGTCACAGGGAGGGCACTGCCTGTAAGAAGGTGTTGTATGAGTGTGGTAGGAAAGAGTGCCAAAGACACTCCAGAGGCCAGTGGGGCTGCTAATGCCAAATGGGAGGGAGAAGGGCCACAGTGTGGCTATACTATACTCCCTTGTGAGTCCTGGAGATGCCCTCTGTGGAGGGGGCCCAAGGTCACACAGCTGTAGTAAGAAGCAGACAGGAGACCCTTAATGATAAAGGACCTCTGCACAGAGTATCCACTGATCACATACCCCACAAACACTACAGCGGTGAGGCCCACTTCCCACCTCCAACACTTACTAGGCTTGATTGATTCCAGAGGTACATGCACACTGGTCAGGGAGAGCTCAGGCCCCTTCACAGGGCTGCCTTGGGACTGGAAGGCTGGTGACTGGAAGAGAGGGCTTCCAGGCCCAGTGGAGAAGGGCAGAAGAGGCCTAGCTGAAGTAGAAGTGGGGAGCAGGGGAGAGGCAGCAGGCCCAGAGAAGCAAGAGACAGGTTTCACCAAGCTGGAGGTCCTGGGAAGCAGGGAGGACAGAAGGCAAGTGAGAGAACAGGCTAGAGTTGCTGGAGAACCACCCCCCACCAAGGCATTCCGAGCCAGGTGTAGCTACCCGAGACCCCCAATTTCCAGTCTGATTGACCAAAAGGATTCCCATCCTCTGGAACCTCCCTTGGGGTCTGCCTATGAGACTCCATTCTCAGCCACACCCTCTTCTCTCCATTACACTTTAGCCTCTTCCAGAAGCTGATCAAGAACATCTCGGTGGTGTAAGGTGCTGTCGTTTGGGGTTGAGCTGTGGCATTCTGGGGCTGCAGGCTCAGCCTTTGGACCCAAAGTCAGGGCAAGTCCAGAAGAGAACATGGAGTCAGTGCTGGGGGCTGGTGCACTGGTTGGGACCACAGGAGCAGAGAAGGGAGGGAGCAGTGGCGCTTGGGAGGTATTTGATGCAGAAGCAGAGGATGGGAGCAGGGATCCATCTGAGGGGCAGCAAGCAGCAGGCCTGGGCCTGGAGCTGAAGACGTCTAGGTCTGGTGGTTCATTCTGCACAACAGAAACAGCAGGTGAGAAAGGGCTGGGAAGGCCTGAAGCAAGGGTACAGTTTATCACCCAGAAGGCCCTTCCCCAAGGGTGCCCTGTCACAACCCACAGGACTAAATGCCCTCCAAAGTGAAAGCTAGAGCACAGCCCTTGGAGGCAGCTCGCAGCTGCAGTGGAGTGCGCTCAGACACAGCTTAGAAGGAAAAGGGTTAATGAAGGTCCTCCAAAGGCACTTCTGATGCCCCCATGACTGAGCCTCTACCTGGAACAGGTGCCAATGGCTATTTCCAGTTGACTCTTTGGGAGGAGCAGCGGGGGCAGGGTCAGTGAGGCCTGAGAACACAGTAGAAAACAATGAGATGAGGCTCCGAGCTGAGGCTCCAACTCCCTGAAATGATCATTTGACAAAAGACATCAGTAGATGAATCGTGGGAAGAAAATATGCCCCTGGAAGCTAGATTGGGGAAGGGAAGTTACTTCTAGCTTCACATGCAGGACTGAGGGGTCTCCTAGGAGAAAGGAGCAGAGTAGCACCAGAGTCCACCATGTTCGCCCTGCAGTCCACACAAAGGTGGCCCTGGTGGCCTCTGGACAGGTAACGTGGCTAATAATAAGCACACTAGACACCTCAGGTCTCATTCCACCTGCCTTTCTTCCTCTAATGCCCACAGAAGCCTTTTACAGCCATCGTCATGGACGTACCCAAGCAGAGCAGCTCCTCATCTAGCAAGGAGAGGGCATTGCTCGCACTGTTGGGCCCCAGGGGAGCCTCAGCCTGGCTGGACGAACAGCTGCGTGGAGGTCCGGAGGTCTGGGGGGGTGGAGGGAGGATAGGGATGCCTGAGGAGGGTGGGGTGGGTGCTGGGGCCAGCACTGGGGATGAGTTGCTGGGTGTGTCCAACTCAGCAAGGTCGATGAGGGTGCCTTGGTTACTGGAGTGACTGTTTCCTGGATGGGTCAACACAAAAGAAACAAGAACAATCAGGGGTGAACTATTGGCTGGGCAGCAGGTGGCAAGACCCTGAGCACAGCAGCTGAGACTCTAGTTTCTGGTGTAATTCAATGGCTCTTCTTCCAGGAGACACTGAAAAGCAAGCTTGGGAAGGCAGGGAGGGCAATCCCCATGTATACCTCTTGGCCTCCGGGAAGTGAAGGAGATCACTTGAAATGGCTTGGAATCAATTCCCTCAGGCCCTGGGAGCCGTCATGTAATCAACTTGTACTTGTGGTTTAGTGGCCAAGATGGAGGGTCTCAGAATGGGAAATCAAAATATTTTACCTTCAGAGTCAGGCATGGTTGAGGTGGTCACCTCGCCATTGATGACCTGTCCTTCAATAATGGTTTTATAAGAGTTTATGACCCGAGAAAGGTTGTCACTGGCCTGCAGGATGTCCCCTGAGCAAAAGAGAGACACTGCTCACTGTGTGGACTGTGACAACTGCCACACAAATTCCTGACTTACCCACGCTGATGACTCTCTCCTTGACACTCACCCAAACTGTTGTCGTTATCCTCTGTCTCACTGGCTAGTTTAAATAATGTCCGTCTCTTGTTCTCACACCGATCAAACAACTCCTGAGAGAGACCCAGACATAAAATTCACAACTACAAGGACACGGAGCATCTTCAATGTTTTTCAGTGCTGATCGATATTTTCCATAATTGTCAATGCTAAGAACACTACTTCATATAAATAAACATGCAGCAAAATAAAAGGGGAGGAAGGAAAAAAAATTCACAACTACAGAGGTCCTCAGAAATCATTTGATTCAATGGTTATGCCCACAAAATGATGGGACTCCCCTACGCCAGAGTATGGATCTTTCTGCTGGTCAGCCTCCACCAGACCATGTTGCCCAAGCCATCTGTACTGACAAAAAGCCACTCAGATGGTAGAGGAAGAAAGTCCCTTCCCTTCTCACAGGCTTGGCTGTGGCTCAGAAGCCAGAGTATTCACCCAGCCACAGCCTGAGCCACATCATCACCATCAAGCTGTCAGGGAAGTCTCTAGTCCAAGGCAGACAGGAGTGAGCACCAGGGGCACTATTTCTGGAGTCACATTCAGGTTCACACCCAGCTCTCCCATCCAGGGTGTCAGCTGACACAACAACTGCCCTGCTACCAAGCAGGTGAACAAGCTCTCAAGGAAAAGCAGGCATGTTCTCAGCAGCACAGGTTTTTGCATGCGGCAGGGCAGTGTGAGCAGCTAGCGCTCAGGTCGAGGTAGCTACCTTCATGAGCTCTTTGTCAGCCTCTGACGAGCATTCCTGGCTATAGTGAAGCAGCATCTCGTGGAGCAGCTTCACGTTGTTGTTAACCTCCTCCAATGTGTGTAGGCGCTTGGTCACCTTCTGGATACGCGCTTCATCCTGCCTCAGCCAAAAGGGGCCAGGAAAAAGCAAGCTCAACTAGTTTGTCTGCTGAGCAATAGGCAGGGCTCATTCCTTCCCTTCCACATAGGGCAGAAGCCAAGAGCTCTGCTCACTGTTTCCTGGGACCACAGGCCTCAGAATAACAGTTCTTTTACAATGACTCCTCCCACTTCCACTCCCCACCTTCCACTCCTCTACTGCTTTCTCCAACAGGAAACATAAGGTTCCTCCTAAACTCACTCCAGTCATAGGCTGGTGGCAGGGTAAGCAGGAGAGGCCTAACATCTCTGGGGAAGAATTTAAGCTTGGTTATACTCCTGCGCCCCAGGGCCCACTCACTTCCTTCACCATGGACTTGATGAGCTTGTTGGCTTCCTGCAGGTCATCTGGGTTCTTGCTTTTCAGAAGCTTGGCTAAAAGCTGGAAGAAAAGGAGTCCAAGGTGAAGGGAAGGTAGCAGGCCCATCCCCACTGGCAAGACCACAAGAAACAGGAGCTCCCTGAAATACCAAACAAAGCTGTTTCGGGCTGGATTCGGTGGCTTATGCCTTTAATCCCAGCACTAGGGCAGCAGAGACTGGTGGATCTCTGGTCTATATAGTGAGTTCCAGGCCAGTTGGGGCTACAGGGAGACCCTGTCTCAAACCAAAAAGAAACACTCCACCCCCATCCATCTGGCTGCCATCGCTCATCTAAGAAAACCCCAGCCAAGATGCACTTTACCTTGGATTTCTCCTCATCATCAAAAACAGGGTTTTTGGGACGAGGTGGGGGAGAGGGGATCAGTGTTCTATCCATGGGGATGGGAGGGTCCGACTGTACTATGCCTGAGGAGACACAAACAGCAGAGAATGTGCTCAGGCTAAGGTCCTCTTGTCTCTTACATACCAAGGGCTAATCCCTGTAATCATGACCCATGAGGATGAGCAAACGTACCAAAACCCCAGCTGGGCCCTGGTGATAAACGCCACTCTCCAGGGAGAGAAAGGGAGGGATCCTGAGGACCCCCAACATTCCTTTCTCTTCATTGCCTTGGCCAGCCTTCGGGGCCACTGTGATGTTGAAGGAAGGTAAACACATACCTTGTCTCTTCAGCATGTGGTAGGCGTCTTTGATCTTTGCCTCTTCTGGAAGGGCCAGTGTCCAGCTATAAAGCAGCTCGATGACCTTTGTCTTCACCTTCTCAGACACTCTGTCTCCCAAGTACTAGGCAAAAGGCAAGAAGAGTCCGGCAACTGCAGCTTGCACATACAGAAAGTATCAGGCTCTCCTCACAGCAGTTCACTCATCCAAGCATGCAGACTCAGCACATGCTGAGGTGTACGTGACAGAACAGAGGAGGGGAGGAACACCTTTTGGTAAGGCTATGACCACTGGACAGAGCCTGTAGCTAGACTGGGACTAAGGCTTTATTTATCCTTGTGCTTCCATGCCTGTATTTTCTTGAACACAAACTATATTTTCTTTCCGTCTTTTTTTTTTTTTTAATATTTATGATTTTTATTTTATGTGTACGAATGTATTGCCTGCATGTATGTGAGTGCAACCATGTCATGCAACGCCTTGGAGGTCAGAAGAGGGCTTCAGATTCCCCTGGAACTGGAGTTAAGGACGGTTCATAGCCGCCATGTGGGTGCTGGGAATCGAACCCGGGTCCTCTGCAAGAACAGTCAGTGCTCTTAACCACTGAGCCATCTCTCCAGCCCCTCTCTCCATCTTTTAAGATTTTTATTTGTGTGTGTGTGTGTGTGTCTGTCAGTCAGTCATTATGTGTGGGGGTACCTGTTGGATTCCCTGGAGCTGGTGGCTGTGAGCTACCTGATGTAAGTGCTGGGATCCGAACTCTAGTCCTCTGGAAGAGCAGCAAGTGCTTTTAACTGCTGAGCCATCTCTCCAGCCCTATCCTGAAGGATTTTCTGAGACTCCCACTAGCCTGAGAAATGGTCCCCTCTGTCTAGAACTATCCATGGAAACTGACCAGCAGAGCAACTGAGCAAAAACCTGCAACTGCTGTATATTAGGAGCACAGAGTACTTAGCTGTCCACATTCTGCCTGGACACACACAAAGCCAAACTGTCTTGCCTGCCACATTTGGTCTGGGAACCCAATGGGAAGGTGCCCAGAGCCTTGCCTCATCAGTCATCCAGTACCTCCAGGAGCTAGCTCTCCAAATGCAGAAGACAGAAGGTCATCTCCATGGAGATGTTGATCAAAAAAGCCAGCAAGATGGAAGATGGGAAAGGACATAAAAGAAGTCCCTAGAAGGAAGGAAACTGCTACCAACTGACCTTTGGAGAAACAACTTTGATTAACTCATTCAAAAACCGGAACTTTCCTACTTCATTATGAAATCTCCTCCCACAGTTCTTCATACACGCCTCCAGCACCTGTAGGCACAGAGAGGAGAGGCACTCTGATGGGGACTTAGGTACCAGCCAGACCTCTTGTACTCACACAGTCCTAAGGAAACTGTCCCAGCTGAAGGGGTTCATCATGAGAAGCAGAGTATTTTGCCCTGGGGAATGGAGGTTAAGCCACAGGACCACAGAACCACTCACCACAACCTCCTTAAAAGGCATTCCAATGCCACACATTATATAGATTAAGAAATGCTGAGACCCAGATACCAAGACGGCCTGCTACCAGACCTGGATGGGGCCTTCCTCAAAGATGTTGTCTTAGCATTTTACAGATGAGGAAAACTGAGGTCTAAGGACAAAGTTCCTTTGACTCAGGGTCCAGGATCCCTTTTACAAGCTGACATTTTATGAGGGTAGATGTTTAAACCTGCTACCTTTAGTTTAGATGACTGGACATTTTCCTTCCCTCCCTTCTTTTGCATGTTCCTATATTCTGTGGACCCCTTCCATCTGTGCAGTTTACACATGGAATATGTGAGTATTCATGTATGTGTGTGAGGGAGGCAGCCAGGTTAACCTTGGGTATTGTTCCTCAGGCTCCTTTACTGTTTTTAAGACAAGGTCTTTCAGTTGCTTGGGGCTCACCAATAGTCTAGGCTAGCTGGCTAACAAGATCCAGGGATCCACCTGCCTCTGCTACCCAGAGTTGAGATTATAAACCATGTGGCTTTTTGTTTCTGTTTGTTTTGGTTTTGGGAGGTGGGGGAGGACGGGGATGACAGAGTCTCACTATGCTGCCCTGACTGGCCTGGAAGTCTCCATGAAGTTCAGGTTGATCTGATCAGAGATCTGTCTGCTTCTGCCTCCTGAGTGCTAGGACTGAAGGCATGAGCCACCACACCCAACAGTTTGTTTCTTCAAAGCAAGGTTTCTCAACTGCAGCCTGGACTGATCACCCTTTGAGGTTGGGTCTGTCCTGTGCATTCTAGCATATCTAGCAGCACCCTCGGTCAATATTCTCCAGGTGTCAGCAGCATCCCGACACCACCTCCAATTTTCCAGGCACTACAAAATGTCCTCTGGAGAGCAAACTGCCTCCCTTGAGACAAGATGTGGGAGATGCCTATAATCCCTCCACTTCAGAGGTGGAGGCAGGAGAATAAGGAGCTCAAGTCAGGTCTTAGCTACACAACAAGTATTAGGCCAGTGTAGGTTACACAAAAGCGCTTCTCAAAAACAAAAACCCAACAACAACGGGAAAAAAACAAACCAACCAACAAAAGTAGCCACCCTTGAAAAAATGATTGTTTGGAGGTCTTTATAATGGGTGTAGTGGCTCACATCTTTAGTCCCAGCACATGGGAGGCAGAGTCAGGTGGTTCTCTGTGAGTTTGAGGCCAGCCTGGTCTATATAGTGAGTTCCAGGCCAGTTGGGGCTACAGGGAGACCCTGTCTCAAAAACACAAAAAGACAAAACAAAATAAAACAAAAAAAGAGTAGTGCACTTGGATCTCTTAAAAACCATTTCTTAGCCAGGCGTGGTGGCACACACCTTTAATCCCAGCACTCGGGGAGGCAGAGGCAGGCAGATCTCTGTGAGTTCAAGGCCAGCCTGATCTACATAGTGAGTTCAGGTCAGCTGGGACTACAGGGAGATCCTGTCTCAAAAAGACAACAACAACAACAACAAAAAATTTCTTTTCTTCTGTCTCTTCAGGAGGACCCAAATGAAGTCAGGAGAGAGGGTCCTGGATCCCTCTGAACCTGCTGTTTGGGGGAGCAAGGAGGTACTTGGATATTCTGCAGCGTTCCTCACTATGAACTCCCTTAGTCTGAACAAACACTGAGCCCCACCCCTGTCGTTGCAGTAGGGGTGACACCGTCACTGGGATGAGCGCTGTGGTTAGCTATGGAACAAACTGTATTTACATCACTTTTCTCCCGCTAGCTGACTCTTAAGTGTCAAAACTACAAAAATCCTCTGCCTTTCCTGTAACCATGTGGCCATGCTGGTGAGCAGAACGCCTGTCATCTTTGAGACCGCCAGGTTAGGTCTAAAGGCATGGATCCTTGTGGACCAGCTGACTAAACATGTTCTATATGCAACTGACCCTGTACCAAAGATTTTCTACTCGACTTTGAGCATGAGCAAGGGCATAATGGGTGGGTGCGGAAAGACCTGGGCAAGAAAGCACCCATCACTCACACCTCTGGGAGCAAAGACCTACTGTGAGGGCCTGCACCGCCTCCCATTCCTGTGGAGACTGGATCTTGTGGGCCAGGAGTCGGACAGCAATCTGGGGCCTGGTGGACGAGCAGACAACAGTCAGTATGCCGATGTGGGACCATCTGACAAGCCTTCATTGGCCAGGTTTGGGCTTTTCCACTCTTCTCTCACTGAGACTCACCCTTCAAGTTCTTTGTTGATCTGATCACAGAAGCCAATTATATATTCCCAGTCCTCCTGGCGGTTGGAAGGATTGGTAGCTTTATCTTGGGACAGAACAAAGACAACTGTTAAAAAAGAGCAAAGAAGTTTTCTTCACAGTTTAAAAAAAAAATTTTTTACTTTCTGTTGTGTGTCTATCTATATGTCTGTATACCACATGCATTTCTTGTGCTTGCAGAGGCCAGAAGAGGGCATCAGATCCTCTGGAATTGGAGTCAGTTGTGTGCTAGGAGCCAAACCCAGGTCCCCTGCAAGAACAGCAAGTGCTCTTAACTGCTGAGCCATCTCTCCAGCCCTTCTTCACAATGGCTTTTTTTTTGGTCTTTTTGAGACAGGGGATCCTTATGTAGTCCAGGAGGCTGGTCTTCAACTCAGAGATCTACCTGCCTCTGCCTCCCAAGTGCTGGGATTAAAGGTATGCACCACCATGCCCAGCCCCTCTTCACAATGTTTAAGCACTAAAAGTTTGTTTCCAAATTTGTCTCACAGGGATGCTCCATAGGTGAGTCCAGCAGCAAATGCAAATCTTGCTTTCTGCCCAATATTTGAAAGCTCCAAAGAAAATATCACAGAGCTCAGTGTGGCCTGGGATCCAAAGGATAAACACAGACATACATGACCAAAGTTTTCACAACCAACATGTTTACAAAATATGCACACCTGACTAATGTAACAACTGCTACACAAGAATGAACTGGCTGCTCAGCAAGAACAATGACCAAGAAGTATTTCATGGAGAAGTGAAGACAGGCTGGATTAGGTAAAAACACACATCTAAAAATATGAGTATAGCCAGGCGTGGTGGTACACGCCTTTAATCCCAGCACTCAGGAGGCAGAGGCAGGCGGATCTCTGTGAGTTCAAGGCCAGCCTGGTCTACATAGCAAGTTCCAGGACAGCTGGGGCTACAGGGACACCCTGTCTCAAAAAGACCAAAAAAAGAAAAAAAAAACTACAGATTCTTCAAAAAGAATTTTCAAGATCTAATGCTTTAAACATTTTGAAGTTGCAAATGATGTTCTAACCTTCAAGCCAACATTTACTCAGCACCTACTAAGCACTTCCCAAAAATGTGCAGTCTATCCCTGGAACCACATGAACAGAATTTTGATGAGCGTATTTAGCTCCTTCAGGTCTAAATGGCCTTCCACAGCCAAGCACAAAGAGAAATGCTAGAGTTCTGAGGGCCATGAAGGAGTCAGAATTCTGGCATTAAATGTAAAGTGCCATTTGGTTTGGTCCCTTTCCTGATTACCCCTCGAACCTGTGCTTAAAGATGGGCTAGCTGAGGGGGTGAAATGGGTTCTGGTCTCTGATTCAGATCTGAGGCTGCCTTGTTCAGAAAGCACTCAGCTACTTACTATTCAGGGCTTCAGGCTCAGAAGATGAAAGACCAACATACACATCCTCTTAAAATGTTCTCCCAACTCTGAGGGGTGAGAGACCTTCCAACACAGGCTAATATTATAAGTTCCCAAATTTTGGTTCTGAATGTGTGCTTTCTTCTTCTTCTTCTTCTTCTTCTTCTTTCTTTCTTCTTCTTTCCTCCTCCTCCTCCTCCTCCTCCTCCTCCTCTTCTTCTTCTTCTTCTTCTTCACATTTACTTTGGGGGCTGGGGTACTCAAGTGCCATGGAATGAGTGTTGCGCTCAGATCAGAGGACAATTTGTTAGAATTGGTTCTTTCCATCATGTGAGTTTTGAGAACCAGACACAGGTTTAAAGCAAGCACCTTTATCCACTGAGTGATCTCACACACCCTTCTTTTTTTGAGAGCATCACACTGTAGCTCAGGTTGCCCTGGAACTCATTCTATAGCCCAGACTGGCCTTTAACTCAACAATGATCCTACCTCAGCATCCTAAGTACTGGAATTAAAGGCATTGCATCACTACACCTGACTGTGTTTTCTAAACTTTAAAGATCAGCTAGGTATACTGGCACATGACAGACGGATCTCTGTGAGTTCGAGGTTAGCCTGTTCTTCATAGTGAGTTCCAGGCCAGCTAGGGCTACAGGGAACCCTGTATCAAAAAGACCAAAAAAAAAAAAAAAAAAAACCAAAAAAAAAAAAAAAAAGACCAAAAAAATGAAAAAACAAACAAACAAACAAAAAACAGGCTGGGCATGGTGGTACATGCCTTTAGTCCCAGCACTAGGGAGGCAGAGGCAGGTAGATCTCTGTGAGGTCAAGGCCAGCCTGGTCTACATAGTGAGTTCCAGGCCAGCTGGGGATACAAGGAGACCCTATCTCAAAAAGACCAAAAAAAAAAAAAAATCCTTAAATTTACAGACAAGGATCCCAAAGGATCCCCCAGTGACCACCCATCAAAGAAGCTTCTTTTTCTTTTTGAGACATGGTCTCCCTGTAGCCCCATCTGTCCTGGAACTCACTATGTAGACCAGGCTGGCCTTGAACTCACAGAGATCTGCCTGCCTCTGCCTCCTGAGTGCTGGGATTAAAGGCGTGCACCACCATGCCCAGCTAGAAGCTTCTTTTTCAAGAGATTATTACAGAGTTCCACAAGTGGTCAAACACACATTGTCTGTGAATTGCCCAAGCCTAAGTGGCATTATCTACACTTCAACCTCTACACCAACTCACAGAACATAAAACAAAGAATAAAGAGAACACTAATGCATCTTTCTTTTTATTTATTTATTTTTACTTATATTTTTTTGGTCTTTTTGAGACAGAGTCTCTCTGTAGCCCCAGCTGTCCTGGAACTCACTATGTAGACCAGGGTGGCCTTGAACTCACAGAGATCCGCCTGCCTCTGCTTCCCAAGTGCTGGGATTAAAGGGGTGCACTACCATGCCCAGCTTTTTTTTGGTCATCTTTCTTTTTTATTACTATTATTTTTATGCGTATGCATGTACTGCCTGCATGTATGTTAAGTGCACCCATGTTGTTCAATGCCTGAGGAGGACAGAAGAGGCCTTCACGTGCCCTGGAACTAGAGTTACAGTCAGTTGTTAACTGCCATGTGGGTGCTGTGATTCGAACATGGGTCTTCTGCAAGAACAGCCAGTGTTCTTAACCACTGAGCCATCTCTCCCACTAATGCATCTTTCAATTCTCATCAATGAAGCTCCCCCATGCAACAGAGGGCCAGGAAAACAAAAGGCCACAAATGGCCAAAATGTAGAGAATAAGAGTCGGCAGAGTATGGATCCCTGGACAGGACTCCTATATTAAAATCCACCCACCCAGGGCTCAGGGACTATTGCAGAAGAGGGTGCAGAAAGATTTAAGAGCCAAGGAGGAGGTGCATGACCATACAGAAATAAGAGTCCTACAGGCTCCTGGGACTCTTCTCATATGAACCTACAAGGACAGTGTCAGCATGCACAAGACCCATGCACACTCAAGCAGACAAAAACCCAGCAAAGAACTGTGGAAATGGACAGCAGGCCCCAATCTTAGTGGAAGAAATATTGGCAAATGATTACTGCTAGGTGAGGGAGAACTAATCTTCCTAAAGCAAGGCACTCTAGATAGGCTGACTAGTCCTCAGTAGGTGAACTTGCACTGAGGGACATCTGGGGGCACTAACTTGTCATGATAGGCCTTAATACAAATGGCAAAATGTATGAATTCAAGTTGGGGGGGATCATGAGAGGGGGCCAATGGGGAAGGGAGTATAAAGATGATTAAGATGCTCTATATGGAGGTGGGCAAGCCAGACATGGTGGCACATGCCTGTAGTCCCAGAGGCAGAGGCAGGTGGATCTCTGTGAGTTCAAGGTCAGCCTGGTCTACATAGTGAGTTCCAGGCCAGCTGGGACTACAAGGAGACCCTGCCTGGTGATCCACCTGCCTCCACGTCTCCTGAGTGTTGGGATTACAGTTGTGTGCCACCACACCCAGTTTATGCTTTACTTTGTAATTAGTTCCAGCACTGGGGAGGCAGAGGCAGGTGGATCTCTATGAGTTCCAGGCCAGCCTGGTCTATATAGTGAGTTCCAGGCCAGCTGGAGAGCTACAGGGAGAGCCTGACTCAAAAAAGACCAAAAATAATTAATAAATAAAAATAAAGAAACATCTTTTTAAAAAATATCTTATTTATTACTTTTATGTGTGCGAGTATACTGCCTGCATATATGTGAGTGCACGCGTGTCGTGCAATGCTGTGGAGGTCAGAAGAGGGCATCAGATTCCCCTGGAACTGGATGGAGTTAAGGATGGTTCGTAGCCACCTCGTGGATGCTGGGAATTGAACCGGGTCCTCTGCAAGAGCAGTCAGTGCTCTTAACTGCTGGGCCATCTCTCCAGCCCAGAAATAAACAAATCTTTAAACAAAAAAAAAGTTGAGGTGGGCTTGGTAGTGTTAAAGAGCAGCTTCTTGACCACAGTATTAAAAGTTTAGGCTGACTCTAGTCTCTGAAATTATCAGGCAGTTGGCCCAGGGTATGGGAACACATGTCAGCAGGACCCCAGTTGTCTTGGGAACAGGTCAGTGTGTTCCAGTGTACCTACTAACTACAGATTTATGGCTTCTGTAAGTTATGCTTGGCTTGCTTCTGCAAAATAGTAATTGTTGGTTAATTGAATAGAAATTGTTAAGGGGGCTTTCTACCTGTAAGCTTGGGAACTTAAGAATTTTCACCCCTGTTTATGGTTTCTTGGAATAAAAGTCACCCTAGAGACAGCTCGGGGGTACACACTTGGGTACTGACACCCTTGTGTAGTCGCTAGCCAGCAAAGACTTTCATTCAGCAAAATTTTGTCTGAGTGGTCTTCTCTGGGGAAGCAGCCCACAACAGTAGTACAGGCCTATAAATCCCAACCACTTGGGAGGCTGAAGCTGGAGGCTTGAGATTGTTCCAGCAAGTTTAAAGTTAACATGGACGATTTAACACTTTGTTGCACAACTGAAAAAAAAAAAAAAAAAAAAAGGCAGCTTGGGATACAGCTAGTACCAATAAACAAACACAAAGTACCAGTTGGACTAGGCATGACAGTGCATGCCTATGATCACAACTCTCAGAAGGTGGGGACAGGAGGACCAAAAGCTCCAGTCCAACCTAAGTTATAAACAAAGA